ATATTTAGAATGGATGAAATTTAATATATGAAATAGTCTAAGTGAAATCTTCATGTAGTTTGTTCAGAAGGAAATCAGTGAAAAAGCCGTTATCTCGTGTAAACATGTATAAGAATTGAAATCTTCTGGACATTATCCTATTCTCGTAATTCTCTACATGTGAATAAAGTATGAAAACCATGGGAATGGATCACTAGAGAATATTGTTTCGTTAGCGGTCTAAAATATTGTCAATCTTCACGTATATCATTTTAATGAAAAGTTACATGCTCACTAATTTCTCGCTTTTTCTATGTATACACAGATTCTCTATTTTATAAGCCGGAATGAGAAATATATGAAAACTTTGAGAATATGCAAACTCATTAACGTATTATTAAAAAAAGCATTATTTATAATATTTTCGTTCTAAAAAAGATAGTTTTTCGATTCTGATTCTACAAATCTTGTCAGGAATTATATCAACTAAAACGAAGCTGTTTTTTTTTGTAAGTTTTTTACTAATAAATTCAGTTATCTAACTTACTGATAACTACAGAAGTTTCAGTTGAAGTGAAAGAGTTTGTTTAGAAGACTAGTTCATATAAAAAAAAATAACTATTCCTAAAAAATATCAAGTTACAACGTAAAAAATATTACATAATCGAAAATATCAAATAATTACCATTGTATTGAACGATTCTTAGCTACGGAACTTTTTCACTGACCATTGACCATAAAAATAAATTAATTAAAATTTTAACCAATGCCTCATATATTTAAATCAGCCTCGATGTTCTGAAATAGGCCTATGCTTCGAATTATCAAATCTTGAAACACTATTTTTTTTCAAGAAATTTTGTATTTTGACTCCCAAAAATCTGCAACTGCGTGTTTTATTGATGAAGGACGGATTTCAGCATTTGCACTGGAAATTATCTATACAACGCTTCATACGTATTTTTATTGATGGACAATACATGGAATTTTTGTTGAGTAACGTTCAAAATATAACTTAATTGTAATATTTGTTTACATTATGCGTATGAAAAACAAAACACTTTAAATAGGCTTCTACTACTAACCAAAAATTTAGTCTTTGTTGTTGAATCGACACGAAGATATTTCATTTTTTTTTATCGAAATGCTATCTATGATCCATTCTGTGTATATATGTTTAAGTCGTTTATTGGCGTTTTCATGAGTCAGGCATTCATTATTTTTTTTTTGATATAAATAATTAAATAAGTTCGACACGTAGAACAAGTATATTATTATTATTTATCGAATTTCTGGGATGAATGATCAAAAAATATCTGATGACAAAACGCAGATCTAATACTTCGTATAACAAAAATGATTGTTTTTGACAGACAAAAGAATTTATTTAATTTTCTTCTTCCAATCGAATAAAAATTAAATGCGCAAGAAAAAACCTTTGAGAATTGCCTTCTAAAGTAAATAAGTAATGAATCGTTTTTTAAGCGACAAAATAGATGTTAGTACAAAGAAAAATTGTTGTGACTCAGTTTTCATTTAGTTATTTTATTACTAATCATGTATCAACTATTTCAGAAAGTGATAATCTTTGTTTCTATCCATAGAAATTTATTAGCACTAATATTGATTAATATTAGTATTTTCTATGAGAGTATACAGCGACTCCATCATATGAACAACCATACTAATGTAAGGTTGAATATTAGTTTCCCAAAAATGTGTAAATTAATTAAAAATTATAAAATAAATAATAATGCAATTTTTAAAGTATTTTTATATATTAGTTCTAATTAAATAAAATTTTTTTCAAAATATGTTCAAACAATTAGACAAATCAAGTTCTAACTCAAATATCAAAATTTGTATTTACATTTAATTGTATATAAATTAGATTGAAATTTATAAAAGAAAAAACTTTATTGAATGTTTTCTTTAAAATATTAATTTTCACTTATTCATAAAATAAAATGAGTTTATGAAATGTCTACTATTTTTCTTTTATTTCAATCATCAAAACAAACACTGTATCTTTGGACAATTTCTTCTCATTTGCATGAAATTTATATTAATTTTGTATTGCTCGCCTTGTATCAATAATAGCACACAATTTTGTACGTAAATATTGGCTATGTACGAATTGCGACCGAAAATTAAGTCAATTAAGAAAAAAGCGGTCGCAATTTGGAATGAATAATTTTACGTTGATTTCATTTTTTATTCGATTCCAAATTGCGACCACTTTTGATTGATTATTTATCGATGTATATGAGTATGAGTTGTACTGTAATGATAATGTTGATATATAAGCGTAAAAAAAAAGATCTCTAGTGAATATCACACAATAGATACGAAATTTGCTTAGTCAACAACTGAAAAGGTGAAAAAGCCATTCTATACAATAATTATTTATATCATTTACAACGAGAAAATACGAACACTTCATCATTTTATGTCTGCACTTTTAAATCGTGCTCTCGATCTATTACTTTGAAAAATAATGTAATTATAAAAGATACTAAAGATAGTAGTGATGAAGAATAATTTTTTTTCTGTAGTCGTTTTTTCAATAAACTTTTTTCAATCAAGAGCGTTGACTGATTGATAATTTAAAAAGTGGTCGCAATTTGGAATCGAATAAAAAATGAGATCAACGTAAAATTATTCATTCTGAATTGCGACCACTTTTCTCTCAATTGGCTTAATTTTCGGTCGCAATTTGGAAGCTACGTAAATATTGTTTTCTAGGCTTGTAGATCCAATCAACTGAATCCATCAAACCAAAAAATCTTATCAGATCATTAACATCAATTATAGTTTAACAAATATAATAAGATTCAATAAAGTCTTCACAGATAGCAGCTAACCGAAGGAGTAGTCATTTTGCATAACAAACGGACAAACAACATCTGACTTTAATCAGTTTTTTTTTATTTAGAGTGTGCAACATCATGGTATACTAATCAATTCCTATTACCATCCATTTTTTTGCTTTTTACCATAGATTAATTATGCAGTAAAAAATTAAATAAAAAATTATTAAGATGAATTTTTTATCTTTTTTATTTTTCAATGCCAATCAGATTTCATGAAGTGGCAACAGCTATTTTAATAATAATATAGATGGATATATAATACATCGAACATCAATTGCTAAAATTCATCAGACATTTTCAATGAGATATGAAATTAGACTTATCATAAAGCCTATAGTGTTGATAACAGGATAAAATAACGAAAAGACATTTCGTTCTTGATTGAATCGTTACGAATTCAAGGAGCTTCTGTGAAGAGAAGATAATATATAAATACCAGTGGAACATAAATATAATAGTCCGTTGCCGACTATGACAGTTAGAAATTAATTGAAAATTTTCGTTTAAGTTTAAGACACATATTGTTAGATTCGGAACTGAAATAGACTCTTATAAACGCGAACATATAAGAGTTCTTGCATATCTGACTCTTTTTTGAACATTTGTGAAAATATTTTTTTAAAAGATTCATATTCTTTTCGAAGTAATCAAAAGCTTTAATAATGAATTTCTGTTCTGAAAACTATAAAATTCTAATAACTGATCGAAATAAAATAAAACTTATTGCTAGAAATATTATTTGAACTCTTATAACAACAATAATCATGATGACAAGACTTATTTATCTTAAATTTTATAAATAATATGACAAAAGAAAATTGAAAAACTTATTTCAATTTAATATAAATCTTGAAAAATCTGCATTCTTTTAATTTTAATATTTTGATAAAAATTTCATATGATTTAATCGATTTGAAATCAATGATTTCAATAGAGAAAATTGTATTCAAAAAACTTCTGAATAAATGGTTTACTTCATAATATTTCACTAATATAAGTTTTCATCACATAGAGTCAGACAACAAAAGTTTATTTTTGTGACTACGAAGGACGATACAGCAGAACGTTTTCAACAAACTGGCAAAAGACACAACATTAAAATCACACTATTTGAATTTTTCATAAGAGGTATTTGCAAGAGCAAAAAGATGAAATTTACATTTGGTCGAATAATTTTCATGATATCTTATGAAATGATCTTTAAAAGAAATGAATTTGAAGATGTTTCATATATTAGATATAAAGTTCGATGATTTTCAACTAAATTATTAATGTTTCACTAGTTGATCTATTGTGTATATTCATTATTTTAGTATTAATTTGTTTTTGTTGAATATTTTTATCAAATTATTGAAATCTCATCAAAATTTACTTTGTTTCAACTAAATAAAAAAATTGAAGCGATAATATAGTTTAATTGTTAAAGCTAATCAAGTCCAAGGACTTTTTCATGTGAAATGATTCATAGAAAAAAATTGCTTAGTTTTTAAAAATGATTATTCATGTTTTCGTCAGCGTTCTGTTCTTATCAACATAACATCGAAAACATAATATTTAATGAATTAATGTAACTAAATTTCAGTGTTTTTCTTTTCTTATCTTATTAAATGAACTCAATAAATTTTTGTTTGTAGTATCGAACGTATTCATATTCTATATCATTGTTTACTTCATTTTCTGTAATTTTTTCTTTGTTTCTAAGAACAATTAAAAAGAAATCAAGTACTTCTAAATTATGCACATATTCATAGACGATTCATCAAGTCACGATCGAATAACATCATAAAAGAAAAAGAAAAGAAAAGCAGTAAGGGTAAAAAAAAAACCTTAACGATTACAGTGGTGCAGGAGCGCATGAAAATAGGACGCATACTTAGTATATATTTATTATGATTGAGACTATTTTAATGCAGGAAAAAAAAATATCCTAAGAACAAGCAGTAACTATATTCGATTATTATAGATATGTCCTTTATTTAATAGTGTAGCAATCGAAAATTGTACCCATTAAAACAGACAAAAAATTTTAGAAATAAAATAAAAACAACAACCAAAATTTATAATTTTGTTAGTAAAAAAAATACAGAAGTGATACGTATGACTATTAAATAATATTCAATATTTGTTGTATTTTTTTCAGCAATCATCATGGTTAATTGGCCGCACTATCCTTTTGCAGCGTACCGAGAGAGTAGACCAGCTGCTGGAGTTATTGCTGCTCTCGTTGGTATCTCATTAATTGCATGGATCGTACAATCAAAGAAAATACATTTTAGACCACGTCGACCTCAAATTCTTATTCTCATTTCTCATATAACTATGCTCATCCAACTCATATTACGTGCAGCTTTCTCTAAGAGAACGAATGATTCGAAAGGTGCTTTTACTGTCTTATCAGTTCTGCTTTCCATTAGTCTACGTACAATTATTTTAGCAAATTATGATTTTCTCACACAAGTACATAAACTCAAACCGTGGATCACTCGAACTATTATCATAGGATCAGTTGTTCTTGGAATTACATCGGCAGTTCTCATGGCTCCAGCAGGTTCATTATCATATGATCCTGATAAAGTCGATACGAGTTTTCAACTACGACAAGCATCATCAGCAATTGTTCTTGGTTTGACCGTACTCTTCTATCCAGTTTGGTTTCTAACAAAAACAATAAAACATATGACAAGATATGCCTTTATTCTTTTGATTATCTCTAGTTTCGCTTGTTTAATAGTTGGTGTTTATCTAGTGATTATATCAGTTCCAGAGTATTATACTAAATCAAATGAAAAAGAATTGTGGGTATATATTTTTCAAATCGTACCTAACGTTATCGCACTATTTGCATGGTCAATCTTGCATCCGAGACGAAGTTTAAAACAAACAGAACCACCAAAAGAACCATCAAAAGAAGAAGAAGAGACTAAAACTAAGACTAACGATGGTGAGCAAATCGTGCGTCTCTAAATGATTAAATTCAAGTTGATACAATCATTAAATAAACTTGAACATGATCGTAACTTGTTATGAAATGTTCTAATGCATCTTTTTTTTTATAGGTATAGGAATAAAATTAAAGTTCTATATAATATATATATATATTGCAGTTCAACATATAATTACTACTGATGGGAGAAAAAAATTTATCAGTTATTGATTTACATAAATTTCAAAATAAAAGATTCATAGAAAAAAAAATGCTTTATAACAAAACTAACATGTAAGCAATAACAAATTTTTGTTATTCAAAGATGCAATCAATCCTCACAGCATTAATTACAATTATTGATAGTTCATCATACATATACGCTGCTTTCTAGTCAGATAAGATTCTTTACAAAATGCGTAAAAATTTCTTTTTCTCGATTTACACATATTTTTTCTGAACGAGTTTTTATTGTATGCAACAAGCAATTGTTATTTCTTGTGTTTTTTTTTTCTTTTGAACAATTTAGCATCGCTTTTAACTAAATTCATCTCTTGAGATTATTTTAACTGTAGAATATTTAGTTGATATATTTGACAATCGAGTTTTCTTGAAACTAATAAAATTCTTAGTTCTTCATTCTAACATGAATAAGTAATGAAAATTATGTAGGATTATATTATGAAAAAGTAATAAAGAATAAGTATAAGATATTATATATTAGCATCTAGTATTAATGAAAGAGAAAGGATAACTTAACAATAATAAAACAAAAAAAAAGGAATGACATGCATGAAACACTTCGTAAATTAAAAAAAAATCCTATTAAATAAATAGAAACAACTGAAGCGTAACTATTTGTTTTTCTTTGTTATATGAGTTCTCTATTTATCAAGAAATAAATTCGATTATTTTGCATTGTCATTTTAAATAATATGTATGAAACAACGTTCTAATTACAACTGTCAGAAAAAAAGACGTAGTTCTCACGTATAAATATATTACACAGTAACCCCAAAAATCATTAAAAAAAACTTTATGTTTTTAGTTATTTCAAAAACATCAATATAATTGTATTAATTTCTTTATTTTGATATCTTTTTCATGGTAAAATTCATGTTATTTCGAAAAACTAGAATTATCAAATTTCTTTGATTATTTTAACATCATCTAAAATCTTTTTTATTTTCGAAAAGTATTTGGCATGATACAAATATTAATTGAAAAAAAAGTAAATTTACATTATTCTAGATATATTTAATTAGATTTGTTGTCTTTATTAAAAAATTAAATAATAATTTAATTAAAAAAAAAATATTAAAATAACTAAAAATTTAATTTATCTGTTTATGTTAACTCGTTCATAAGTTTTGTAGTTTCTACGCATCATGCGCATAAGATACAAAAGATATCATGCATTATTTTCTCTTAATAATCACGTGGATAAATAACAGAACATAATAGTAATAGGTTATGAGTGATAGATTACATAATTATAATATTATTCATCCGTGCTGTTCGTAGAAATAAATCAAAAAAAAAACCTATTAAATTTAAGTTATTTGTATCTCTCTGAATATGAGAAGTAGACAGCTGAAATTCAAATGTAGTGTAGATCTAGATATTTTCAGTTCAATATGTAACAGTGCATCGGCGTGCATAAATTTAATCCGTGTCGTTTTTTGATGCACTTTTATATATTGAATTAGAAAATGATCTTGTCATAGTTTTAGTAAATATTTCGAATAAACTAATTTTAATTAATAAAATAAAAATATTTGAAAATTTTTTATTTTTCAAAAGCTTATCAACAAATTACTGTTAGTTGTAATTTGTAATACTAAAAGACGAAACAATCATATATATATAAATTACTATACTTAGAGAAAGCGTGCTAATTACATTCCAATGTGATGTGTGAATACTCACAACAAGAGATGTATATATAAAGAGATTAATACATCTACTTACAAGAGAAGAAAAAAAAAAACTAATTTGCAGAGGAAGAAAAGTATTAGATGGTTGAATAAGAGAACAAGTACTCATCGTTTAATAATCATACTAATGATGATAGAATTACAAACAAGACTATGAGAATAAATAGAATTTATAATCTAGAACATCGGAAATAGAATTTTTTTTTTTTTTGTTTTGTATTCATAGTTGAGAGCTTTAGATAGTCATGTTGTGTCTAGCGAAGAGTTTTTTTAACGAAGTTTAGGTAGAATATCTTCGATTGCTAAAGGGAAGGAATGAATACTTATTTGTGAGATAGAAACATTCCTACACTGTTCTAATTTTGCAAAATCTGTCAGCATCTTATTTAAATTCATAGAATCTCACTGATTTACAATGATTAATTGTCTCGGAACAAATTTATTTTGAATTGATTCAAAATTATATTCAATTGATGTTTGAAGAATTTTTCAGATAAGATGTTGATTCACTTTTGATCTACTAGAAAGTATTTCTGATAAGTTAAAAGATATAATTTTGTGTAGTTTTCAAGTATAGGAAATTTTTGCTGTACATTTTCGTATTTTCATTATTGCGAAATGAAAATAAAAGTTACATCTTAGTTCAATACTATATTTTGTAGATAAGTAATGTGCTCTATAAAACGATCAACTCCGATAATTTTTAATACTATTCGAACAGGAACTTATAGGATCAATAACAAAAATCTATCGATTTATTATAATAAATAATTGTTCAGATAGATCTTTTTAAAACATCTTTCACTATTCTTAATCAAAAATAAATACAATATTTCTAAGTACATATTTGATAAAAGTTTCTCTCTGAGAACTTTCCCATCATTTATTTATATGACTAATATTGACTTGATTCTTTTTTTTCATTATATATTTCTTGTCTTTATACGACATCTTTCGATATTTCTATATATATATTTATGTTTTTTTTTTCTATTGCATGATTGTATAATGTCTATAACTAAAAATAAATGTTGTCTCATTTTTTGAATTATTGTTCTTTGGTTACATGTTTGTCTTTTTTCTTTTTTTAGTTTCTTCGAATTTATCATTAGTAACATTATCATTTATTTCTTCGTACGCAACGAAAAAAACATTGATATCAAAATCTAATAATTTCATTTAAGATTATTTTTCTTTTTATATATTAAAGATTGTAAAAACAACAACAACAAAAACAACAACATGCCTATACGTCTTCGACATTTAATGTATCGTATACCATTACCATCTCTTCGATATTATACATTAATAAGTACAACATTATTATTTGCTAATATATTTTATTATCATCATTTAATTCAAATTAATGTTAAAAATTTAACAAATGAAACAATGATCAATGAATCAATATTTTTTTCGGATGCAAAACCATTTTCATATGCTTATATTAAAACAATTTTATCAATTATTATATCACAAACATTATCTCTTCTAGTAAGAATAAAAAACAAATAGATTATTCTTTGAATATATATATATATATTTAGATACTTGTAAATGCAATATATTGTTCATTTGGTTTATTTATTAAATATTTACAAGAATTAATATTTGGTGAAATACGTTTTGTTGAATTACAACGTATAAAAGATAAATTTTGGAATTATGCATTTTATAAATTTTGTTTTCTATTTGGTGTACTTGGTCTAGAAAATTTAAATGAACTTATATTATGGATATCATGGTTTTCATTTTTAGCATGTGCACTTTTATTATGTCAATTATCTAAAGATCGTTTTGAATTAGTAAGTTTAGTTTTGAAAAATATCTTATCGAATAAGATCATCATCTTTGATTTTATGTTTTAAAATAATTGGTAATACATCGAATGCCATATAAGAATAACTTTCTTACAAGGGAACATTTTTGACTATTCAATCGCTTTTGAGTTCGAACTCGGTACATTATGTAGACCTTATTGAGTTATGAAAAACTGCAAAATAACAAATGCCCTTAGGCCTTCTGTCAAGACTTATAGACATTTTACTTCAATTTGTCTTGACAGAAGGCCTAAGAGCATTTGTTATTTTGCAGTTTTTCATAACTCAATATGGTCTACATAATGTACTGAGTTCGAACTCAAAAGCCATTGGACAGTTAAAAATGTTTCCTCGTTAGATATTGTATGACAAAGCTAATTTTTCGATTTTTAACGGTAGATGAGTTTTGCGGAAAGGAATTTTTTTGAATAAAAAAGTTTAGATTTATTAATAAGAAGTTCATCATGATCTACCATTTGATATAGAGAAATATTTTGAATATGTCAAAAAAAAAAATTTCTACTTTCAAACTCTTGAAGTAAAGAGAGATATTGAGGTATAGAGAAAATTTTTAATTCTAATAAGAGATAAAACATATAATAAATCTAATCGAGATCTATACTTTAATAATATTTAACTATTTAGAATCTAAATTTCTAAGAAATAGAATAAAATAAAAACTAATCTATCCTCCGGCAATGATCAGAAATTTCTTTTCAATAGATTCATATATGTCAATGGATAGAACATAATGAATTTATTATTAATCAATGAAAGCTTCTTTCTTTTACTCAAAAATACTTCTTAAAAAACTTGTATACTTTTTTCTGTCGATAGGAATTAAAAAAAAAGATTGAAGCGCAATTGTTAGTTAATTTTGAAGAATTTAAAACATCATAAAAACCAAAAATGACATAAGCGTGTAAAAATATGAAGAAAACTCAAGCATATTTCCGAATCTGCTATTTCTCTATATATCATTCAATAAATCCATGAGTTACTTTGCTAAAATTCGTATCCGATAGAGTCCTTTTTTTTTTTTTATTATTATTTCATTTTTTTAAATAGTTATCAGTTTCGGCTTCAATACGTCGTCGACCATTAATTAAAATTCTTTGTTTACTTATATCATTATTTATAATATGTTTAATATTATTGACAATATGTTATTTAATTGGTTTAAAATATGGTGGTATATCAATATTTTTTTTTATGTTAGCTGAAACAATATTATTAATATTTGATATAAGTTATCTTTTATTTAAATATATATTTCAATATTAT